CCGCGTAGGGCCTCTGGAATGGCACGATAAAACAACTGGACCAGCTGGGGCTCAGTGACCCCGTGGTCCGGGACGGCTACCAAATCGTCCATGGTACCCTTGAGTGCCTTGGCACTCCTCCACTGCCGAGAGTGGATCGTTTGGAGCTTATCAAAGGCTCTAATGCCTCGCGTTGGGTCAGCGAACCGCCCCTTGAAGAGTTTGAGGAATTGGGAAAGAGGAGTGACTTTGGAATATGCAACCAGGTTGTTTTCACAACAGGCTGTACGCGCGAGAGATCTGGCGAAGCTAGCCGCTTCGTCCTTCAGGGCCTGGAAGGCCACGAGGACTTGCTCCTCTGTTAGGATATGCTGTAAGTAAATATAACTGTTGACACTGGCTTCCCAGTTGTCAAAGTTCTCTTCCTTCTTCCCCCCGTACGCATCTGGGAACTTGAGTTTCACTGGGTCCTTACGGGGTCTGGCCTCTCCCTCTACAGCGGCTACAGCTTTGGCACCCTGAATGGCGCCCTCACAAAACTTCCCTACATTATCTCTCAATTGCTTCACTTCGCCCCCAATATGGGTGAGGATCTCGCGCGCAAAATCTCTAAACCCTGACCGCATGGCACTCAACGCTACATCCTGGCTCCAGCTTGCCTGGCGCTCCTCCATCCAGGCCTTGCTCAACACCTCTAGATAGCCCAGTACTTTGTCTCACTTGGCCTTATCATCTGGCTGGGCCAGCACCTCCGCTCTACACTCCTGCACCTTTGCCACTGCGGCGGTCATCTTATTCACTTCCTCTCTCCTCCTCTTCTTCTCCCTCTTCATTCTCAACTTCCATGCTAACTTTTGCTCATCTTCCCTCTCTCTTCGTTCCATTGGGTCTGTCGTGGCCGCTAGTTCAGCGGCCAGCGCAGCCTTCTCATCCTTAGTCACATAGGACTCCGCCTCCTCGTCTTCCCCCAACGATAAATTAGCGACCCACTCGCTGATCTTCTTCTCCAGCTCAGTATCTGTCTCCCACTTCATCATGCCACCACTACTTCCTTCCCCACTCTCAATTCTCATCCTCTCTTTCTCTTCTTCTACTGCCGCTTCTGCTTCGGCAGCCTTCCTTCTTTCTTCCTCCTCCTGTTGTACCCTCTTCATCTCCTCCTCCAATCTCTTCATCTTCGCCGCCTGCTCGTCAGCGATAGCCTTTAGCTTCGCTTGCTTCTCACGCTCTTTCCTCTCCTTGTTCTCTCTGACTAAGGCGGCCATCTTTTCTTGCTGCTCAGTGGTGTAGGGGCTAGTCTCCTTCCCACTACGGGTCTCAACCATGGTGATAAGTGTACAACCGGGTTAGTGGTTCCAAACCTCACCACGTAGATGTCAACCCCTGACTGACAGACCTACTGACTTAATCTAAGACTTACAGAATCCTGACAGGGATGCTGTCAACTATGGTCTCTAGCCTAGACCTACACTATGGCTGTCACTACTGAACCAGTGGCTGATCAGGAGGCATTTAAGGAGATCCCCCGTAACTCCTCAAGAATTCTTTAACGTCGCAGACAGGACGACGTGATCAGCTTGGTTCTGCCTGTGCTTTCAGCCCAGAACTCAGCCTTTCCGGGCTACTGTGCCACACCGAGCAGCCCGCCGGTCTGTACCGGTCCTTGGGAGGGTTCGTATCCCCCGGGATTCGAGTCGTCAGACACAGATCATCAGCCTTACTTGGTCTGGCAGGGGAGTGGTTCCAACAGGCCCTCAACACTTAAAGACGGCCTCCGTTTCAGCCTGCAGCTCAGAGTTCGGACCCTCTACACTGAAACTGAACAGACCTGCCGGACAGTACATTTCATTGGGCTAGACGAGTTGTTTAACGAGCGCTCGCCGCTCATGCCCAGGTCTCCAGATACCAGAGTAGAGATTAGTCCTACTAAGTCCCGTGCAGGTTTGGCAGCAAGGCCCTATCCTTCATCCACAGAGTTCTATGACCTAGGACAGAAGAGACTCAATGCAGAAAGAATAGACAGACAGACT